ACCATGTACCTGCAGTTAAGAACTTAAAATGTTCAGTTTATTAATGTGACTCTACTTGTAGGATTATAGGTATGGTAACATTTTAATGAAATCCTGATTATGATGTTAACAGAGGAGGAATGTGTAGAAGGCATTCAGAACATTCTGTATTGTTTTGATGAACATGAACATCTGAGCATCTGAGTAAAGGGAAAACAAAGTGAAATCAGGGCCTCTGGTATCTCTTATATTTTAAGATCCACGATATAACCTACTCTGAAAATAATATGATCTGCAGTCTTCCCAAAGGGTGCTTAGTTTCTAATATTATTTCTTTCAATGAAAAAATAGCTTGGTGAGTACTTTATAGTACAAGGGAAAGTTGGGCATAGGCATTGGACTCATGGGAACATTCTCATGATTGTCAGTAATTGCCTTGAGTTCCAAGTCTGTGCTAGTCTCAGATGATTCACAAATAAGTGTGTCTTATCAATGTTTGGTGCGAAAGCTGAATATAGTTCCAAAACACCAGATAGCATTAAAACTTCTTACAGAGACTTCTTAAAATCCAAGAATGCACACATTCACAGTAAAACTCTGAGTTTTGATTCTAAAGCCATCATTGTGATGGAAACTAAGATTTTTTTCATAATTACTTTTATGCTAATTACCTTTATTATCTCTATGAATATAAGCTTCTTAGAGCTCTATTTTTGTTAACTTCGTACTCTTGACTAGGACCATTGTATTCAGCTTCCTTTCCTTAATGCAATTACATGGTTTTTCTATAAACTAAAGAACAAAATTGAATGGGAATCCAAGCAAGATTATCCTGTACTTTTTCTATTGTAGATTTTAAGTTTGGAAGCCCTTTTTAAATCAATACTTTATGCAATCATATATTAGGACTAAACACATAGGATTCCACATTTCCTTTACCCTAACCTTGTAAGTAACTCAACTTATTCATAAGTTGTTAACATAACTTGATTGTCCACAAAAGTTATTTTTAATAGAAAACTTAATTTTTATTACTGAGGAAATGATTGTTACTTAAGTCACAATAATATGGCCCATATAGAAACAGCTTTCATGAAGGCATTTTGTTAAGTGTTCTGATGGCCTAATTGCTTTTGAAATTGCAGAGACTCTTAGATCTATGTCAGTGCACTTGCCAAGGACATCCAATTTCCTGTGAATGTTGACCAAGAAACTTTGTACAAAAATGTAAAATAAATTTACAGGAATGTTCCAGAGAAAGGACCTCATAATAGACTAATTCTTATAATGATTTGACATATTCCCAGTTCCACCTCAAGCATGTGTTGCAAAATCACAGCTCTGTGATAGCTATTTACAACCCACACATTTCCAGACATTACTGTTTCTAAGTCTATATTTGCTTCTTCTGCAGTTAGAAAATTTGTGGACATTATCCAATTGTCTGGATAATGTCATACCTCATCACTGATAAGCAAAATAATAGGCTAAAATGATGGTACTGGCCATCGTTGATGAAGGCTGTATTAATCAATTGTTGGAGGAATTAGTTACTTCTAGTCAATAAAATAACTTTACTTATTGGGGTAGAGTCTAAAGATGTGCCTTATCTTTTCTCATTTATAACTGTATCACCCATGTTTATAATTCTGTGATGCTTGTCCATTGCCTAGAACCATACCCAATAGATGAACAGTTTTTAAATAGATGACTGTATTGGAGAAATATCTGTAAAATATAAAAATATTTGCATGCATTTATGATCTGATGAAATCCCCCTTGTCCTTAAACTTTACTGGAAATATTAGTTTTTCCTGGGAGTTATATAGCTACAGATCACAGAGCTTGTGCTTACAATATTTGTGTGAACATTCTGTGAATCTTTATTACTATTTTAAAATATTTCCAAAAGCATTTTTAGATTTTTAAGTTTTATTTGTCCTTTTTTATTTGTTTGCTTTCATAATTAATTAAGTACCATTTTCTTGCCAAGAGTCAATATATTTAATGATAAAACACTAAAACCACTGAGAATTTTACATGACAAAAAAACAAGAAAACAAAAGGAGTCTGCTCTCATTACCTTAACTTTGCTAATTTAAATTAGATTCATGCTTAATCTAATTTAATATACTGGCCAAAGTAATAAGAGATGAAAAGTTATAGAACATAGCTATTGGAAAATGCAGAAATAAAATGCCATTACCTGTAAGATAGAACCTTGCTTACTTTGGTTTTCAAAGTAGAAAACAAAATCAAAACAAGGGAAATAATAAGAGTTCAGTATTGAGCAGTAGTTCTCAAAATGTGGTCTGAAGACCCTCACAGAATTTTGATGAGGTCAAAGCTATTTTGTTAATCATACTAAGATGTTTTTGCTTTTTCTACTCTCATTGTCTCATGAAGACACAGTGGAGTTTTCTAGAGGCTATGTGATGTGCTTCTAACAGATTGAATGTAGAAACATATGTTAGAATCTATTTTCTATTAAGCTGGGCACTTAAGATATTTATAAAATTATAAAACAATGCCTCTCTTCTCACTAAATATGTTTGTTTTGGAAAACATAATTATTTTTCATAGACATAGGTTACTTATGTTAACATTTAAGGGACCTGTTATTTTACATGGATCCAAACATTTTGAAAATAAGAAATTCAGACAAATAAAATAAATTTCAATAGTTACAGCAGACATATGCAGAAGTTCCTTGATGTCTTCAATAATTTTTAAGATTATAAAGTGGTTTTGAGAAAAAATATTTGAGAAATTGCTGGTGCATATAATAGGCAAAATGTACGTATGTATACAACAGTAGTAATCAGTTACAATTTAAAATTGAAAAAAGCAAAATACCTAAGAATAAAGTTACAGACTTAAGTAAAGTATATAAAAATATTTTATCTTAGCATATTAATTGGGACTCAATAAAAAGATCTGTACCATACTGTATTCTTTGGTGGCAAATTTCACTGTTATAAAGGTGTTCATTTTCTTTAATTAATTTATAGGTTTCATATATATCCAAACAATAGAAATATGTTAAACCTGTGGAAATGAAAATTTCTATAAAATTTAACTACATTAGTCTAAAGTTTATGCAAGAATAATAGTCAATTAAATGCAAAATAGTTTAGGTAAAGGCAAAAAATATTTTAAAAGAAGCATAATTATAGACCTGCTTTACCTGATATTAAAGCTATAATACAAAATCAGATAACGAGAATTATCTCAAAACTAAGCACATATGTTATATGTGTATATTTGTGTGCATTTAACATATGATAAGGGAATCAGTGTTCAATTTCTCTCACAATAAAGAATATATAAATGTAAACAATTTTTATCAGTTCAGTAAAGATAAAATATTAATATTAGGTATAAAAGTATTGCTAAACATTTATAAATTTTTGGGGGACAATTATAGATAGTAATAACCTTCTTGGATAGCTACTTGTTATTACATATCAAGTGATCTAAAAAAATTCATAAATCTTAGTGTGGCAAATTTATTTCTAGCGATCTCTCCCTAGGAAATATTTAGAAGTGAAAAAATATTTTTGCACAAATATCTTCACAGCAGCATGTTTTATAATAAGACACATTTTAGAATAGTACATACATGCACATATTGGGCAATGATTAAGTAAATATGGTAATGACAAGGATAAACTATGTACAGAATAATATTAACAAAGAATGAATTTCATATATTTTATAAATCTAACTATGTAAATAGTATAGCAAAACATCAGGAATAGATAGCTTAATACATTAACATTGGTTATTTCTGGATTCTGGAATTATGAATAATTTTTATTTTCCCCTGTATGCCTTTCTTTATTTTCTCAGTTTCTTTTACAATGAACATTTATATCATGTTAATGTAAATAAAAGTGTTACAATTCAACTAACTATACACACAAGCATTGAAGTTTTAATTTATGGATTAAAACAAATCAGATAAATGAGATTTTATATTGCATTTCCACTCTGGATTCTTTTCCATTTGGTAGTAACTTCATTGGGTGCTGCCTCCATTACCACTGTGTAGTTTTCATCCATTTGCCAGGAAACTGTATAATCTTAAACAGGTCATTTTTCCTCTCTTGGTCTTTAACTTACTTGTCTATAAACGAAGTTCCTTCCAAAGTTAAAATCTGGAAATTAAGTGATCAAGATTTCTAAAACTTATTTCCAACAGAAACATCTTATCCTGCATTCTGTATGCCTGTCTTTTACTACACATTTTCTCCTAACATATTCTCCTCTGGGTTTTGTTATTCTGGATCTACTCCACCCTCTCCAACATCTGATGATTGAAAAAGGGACTGCATGTCATCTTCCTGTCTGTCTCTCAGTACTAGTCAAGGCAGCATTCAGATCCTAGAGCCCCTATATGAAAACTGTTGACTTATCATCATCTACAGATCTTTGGCGATATTCATTGCCACAGAATCTGTCAAGATTTTAAGAATCTGGATATAAATGGACTGACTCATGTTTGATAGTGAATTGTGTTGCCATTTCCTTCTTTTCTTAGCCTTTTTTGTTGGATCTTATTGACACCAACTCCCTACAGTTGTGCTCAACCCAGCTTGACTGGACTGTTTAACATTCAACATGATTAGCACTTTGGAAATACTTGTTTTTTTTATGAAGCTCTTATATATTATTTAAGTTATAGTTTGTAATCTGATATTTTAACTGTGCTGGTTACTAAAAAACTTTGCTATATGTACGTGTTAATTCTAATAAGTCACTAAATATGTAACTGGATGATATGAATGCATATTAGTAAGAATATGATAAACTTCATACAGATCTATTCATTTGATATCAAATATAATTTTCTTATAAAATTCTTTGATGTAAAGTTTTAATGTATATTGTACATTAAATGGAAAGCACACCTTAGAATTGATTCCCTTTGTCAAATTAGTCATCTGGGGTGGAATTTATGCTGTTTGATGCTCCCATGTGATTCATGTGTACTGATAAATTTCTTTTTAAACTTGCAGCAAATAGTGGCAGCAATAAATGCAGGGATTATACCTTTAGGAAACACCTCCAATCAAATCAGTCACTGGGATTTGGGAAGTTCCTTCTTCTTTGCTGGCACTGTTATTACAACCATAGGTAGGAGACAACTTACTTTGCTTTTTTAATTGGTACAGCTTGTGAGCTAAAATTCATTTGTTTGAATTTTTTTTTACAGTGGTTCAAAATAGTCTGCTTAATTTAGAAAACTAGTATATTTAGATTTTATATAAGTATGTTATACCTTATATAAAATCGATCTTAATTTCTATATGGTAGATTTTTATATATGGATTTTGAAAAGAGGGTTAAAGGTTTGAATAAAGGAATAATGGAAGTGGATTTGTTATTGTCTCAGAATACTGAGTTAAGTTTGAGATACATATAAAACCCAAGAGCAGTACAGTCGAGTCTTTTGACTAATGGGTAGGAACATGAAGAAATAGCTGACATGATTATTTTTTAGGAGGCAAGGAGTTTGAAATTTTCCTGCATCTTTTATTCTTTAATGTAGAAAGAAAAGATCTCTGAGTACAATTTTAACATCTGTCTCATGAACTTCTTAATTACTATCACCTTCTTCAATTTGAAAATTTTGACTCTACATTCTGAAAAGATTGTTCCTGTTCTTATGTGCTTGTCTGTTATGATTATCTCAGGGCTTCTGTTTATACATGATGTTTTTCCAATAGCACAAATGTATAAAAAACTAACACTGAAATGTGAGGATTACAAAAAGGAATGAAAGTTTGTGCTCTTGTTGTTTTTCCTTCTAATTAAGTTGTTTGTTATAGGGTTAAAAAAAAATCACATAGAGAGTGAAACATGGTCTTAACTGGGCCTCCACTCAGCACCTTCTAGGCCACATAACAGGTACATGCAGACGACTTCTCTTCTGTAAGCTAGTTGTTCAGTGCCCAGGACGCATCCAGAGGATAGAAATGCAGACCCCAAGGTGAAAGCTCTCCTTGCCGTGCTGTGGAAATTCGGAAGGGTTACAGCTGTCTTCAGGGAAGGAGGTGGGATTAAAGAATAATCTTCAAGAGAATAGGGAAGGAAATTGACTCATCACAGTTATGAAGGAATTTGATGTGGAAGAAAATATATGTGCAAAAGGAAATTCTTCCCTTCCACATGTGCTTGTGATGACATTTCCTCTCACGGGCCTGATATCTGATCTGGGGGTGTGTATGGAGATAGTAAAAGTTTTAGTTTCATTCTTTGATGTCATTGATAAATTATGAGCGCCTAAGGCTTTCAAATCGGTACTTTATATCAAAGTCCTGAAAAAGAGAACGTGGATAATGTATGGATGAGCTCTTGCTTAAAATTTTCCTTTGAGAAGGAATTTTTAGTGTCTTGTCATTGTATGAATCTACTGTCATACCTCTTTGTGCTGGATCACTGGCCAGTGGAATAAAATCCTTAGCATGTTGACCTCTGCCTTTGTTAAGAGGTCAAGGAACTATGTGTACGCTATCATTTCCATCAGCTAGGTCAAAAGTTGTATGGGTGTGAAATCTGGAAGAATGGAAACCTTGATTTGTAACCATAATAACAGGGTAACTTCGTAGCTTAGACATCTTGGCTGTTTCTACTATGGAAATAACTGCTTATTGTGCAAAGTACATAGAGTCTAGAAGGAAAAATAAAAGCTCAGGTACTGAGTGAGAATGGTTTGTTTCTGCCCAGTGAAAACTCAAAGTCCAAGTTGTAACTCATCAAGACCAACGCTAAATTATTCTGCACGAAACCTAGTCATTATACAGATCGACTGTTGCATCATGTTTATAAACAGTCTCATTTCTTGAGTCCCAAATTCAGTAAGTTTTGCGATCATATATTTCAACACATGAAAACAAAATAAACCATTATTACCAGCCTTACCCCAAATTATAGCCATGAAGCACAGCAGCTGATTATTTAGGTGTTTAGGTAGCTGCCTAACTGCCCAAACCTTGTGCTGTTCTGTCTCAGGCTTTAGTCTCAGGTGGATTAAGTCATTCTAGGTCACTCACATTTCCTCCATGGTCTTTTACTCAAGGTCAAGGCCATCTGCTCTGACTCTGGATGAGATTTATGGTCTAGGGCAGGTGGAAAAGTTTGGCCTCCTTCTGAAGTGTCCATTTGACATCCAAATCATTATTCAATAAAATTCAAAGCATAATTATGAATATTGCTAATGATAATAGTTGTGTGGGCTTTGAAGTGGCTTTTAGCAATCATAGAAGTTGCAACCTCTAGCACTAGCTGTATTGCATTAGTCATTTAAAAATAGAATTTGAGACAGTTTTGGAGAATAAATTGTAATGGCTTTTCTAGGGTGCCTGGTACAGGCAGTGCTTCATGGGGCTGTCTTGGGTATAGTTCCAGAATTTTCCTATTCATTGCTATCAGTTTGTCTAAGAAACCAAAATGACCATTACTATTCATTTAGAAATATACCAAGGGAAGCTCACTTATACACAGCAGGATATTACAATGGAAAGCCTAATGTTAGAGTATGTCTTCATATACATACACACTCTTTCTAAAATCATACCCTATGAAGCCCTTCACAAATTCCATTCTACAGGTGCACAGAAGAAAATCCATTCTTGACTATTCTCTCTTTCTCTCAAACCTCACTTCCAGGCCATCTATCAATTCTCTGTCTTTAAAGTAGATCCATAATTTAACTACTGCTCACAATTCAAACTGCTGCCGTTTTGGTTCAAGCCAACATCATCCCAATGTCAGCATCCTTGCAGAAAGAAACCCTCTGCTTAGAACTCTTCTGTGGTTTCCAATTCAGTCAGAGCAAAAGCCATACTGTTGTCTGTCTCACCTAGTAAGACGCAAGTTCTGTGGGGTTAGGGATATTAATGTGTCTGAGTCCTTTCTGTGTCCTCAGTGCCTAACAGATAGTGGATGATTAATAATTATTTTTGGAATTAAAAATAGGCATTTTAAACAGTATGAACTGTGACTTACTGGAAACTACGTAACACTAAGTTGATACCTATTATACAAATTCTTAGTTCTTTCAGCATATTTCATTATCAGCTTTTTGTTTGCTCATTTATTCATTCAACAAATAATAAAATGCTATCACTCTGCTACTGTAAAGATAAAAAATAAATTACCTGAACCTAAGCTGCACACAGATCAGTGAAGAAGTCCATTGGGCAAATTATCATTTAATGTGCCAGGTGTTTTGGGTTAAGGGCATTTAATGGGAATATATAGAAGTAACACTTTATATAGATATTGGGGTAGGTAGGTGGGTAAGGAAAGAGCAAGGAATCCTTCCCTTTATTTAGTAAATGTTATCTCAGATGAGATTGAAAAGAGAATAAGGAATTTCTCAGCTGAATAAAGGTGAGAAGAGAGCATTGTAGGCTTTAGGAGTTTGTGTGGAAAAGATTAGGAGTAAGAGACGGCATGTTCTATTTGGGAATTGCAAGTTATCTATAATTGTTGTTTGTAGTTGAAGAAATTAATCTTCAGGACCATGTAAATCCCTAAGTCAATGTCAGTAGCTCTTTTTGGATGACTGTTATTTCTGCCACTGCCAGGGGTATAAAGGACACAGTCCCCGCTTGCAATTCAATTAGGTGATAAAATTAACACATGAAATAATTGAAGTATAACAGAAATAAATGATGTGTAAGCAAATGTTATATGGAACAACGGTGTAAGTGTTATAAGAATTGAGAAAAAGGAAAGAATATATGGGCTTGAGCTGGAAGAAGTGCTTAGTTAGAGAAGCTGGATTTGAACTATGCTTTGAAGAAAATGCATTGATCTGGACAGATAGCAGGAGAAGCCTCCAAGTCTGTGACATGGTTAAGCAGAAATACAAAGAGAGGAATGAACTTGTTTTTTTTCAAGGATAGAAAAATAAGTATTTGAAGTAGACCAGAGACATTTTTTAAAGGAGTAGTGAGAAATAATATTGACTCATTCATATGGGAAGAACAGATTTGAATATAATTTGATATATGAGAATTTTGGACCTACTATAATAAGATAGAAGATGGATTTTCTTTATTTTTTAAAGTAAAGTGGCAGGTTAAAAGTGACATTAGAAGATGCATTTGTGAGGAAGACAGTGCCTGGAGACTGCTAGCTGAGAGAGCAATTGGGAGGCCATTCCAGTGACCCATGGAAGGGGGTGAGAGTATTGACTGGGATGATTGGAGTTGGTGTTGAAAGGCGAGAGGAAGACAAGACGTTGAAATAATCAGATGCAAGAATCAACCGGCCTTGGTGAATAATACAGTGAGGAGAGAGGAGTTAAAACGTGGCCTATCAAAACAAATATGTAGGCATTATGCTCGCCATTCAGAGACAGTGCTAATCGATCCTGTGAAGAGGAGTAAAACAAAACGGCCAGCATTTTATATGTTGTGTTATATTAAGAAGTTTCAATTTACTAGTTTCCCCCCATTCCTTAAATCAGACGAACTAGGAATACAGGCAGACGGGCTCCTTCTGGAGCTCACAGTGGGGCTGAAGAAACCAGCGGTCAGCACACTGTGCGATGACAGAGAGCGGCCAGTGGAGCAGAGCGGGGGGTGGGAGGTGTTCTGAAGAGCACTGGTTCAAGAGCTCTTGGAGCAGGTGCCATGCAAGCTGAAACCTGAAGCATATAAGAAAAAAATCCGCTAGGTAGAGGGAAGTGCAGAGCTCAGGTAACGTGCAGGCAGAGGGCCTGGCAGTAGTAAGGACACATTTTGGCAAATTCGAGGGAGATGGCTGAGTCTATGCGGCCAAGCCTGGAGGAAGAAGCAGGGTCAGCAAGACCACCAGGAAGCCAGAGCGTTTAGGTCTCAGTAGGTCATGGCAACATTCTGAATTCAGTGGGGAGCCTCTGAAAGATTTTAGCAAAAGAGAGGGATGATGAAACTTGGGCTGCCGTTTGGAGGGCAAAGGAGGAAGCAGGAAGACCCGTGAGGAGGCTGTGCATTGAAGCCACGAGAGAAGGAGCTGCCTTGTGTCAACCAGGTGGCATTGAGGAAGGTGAAAAAGGGACCAAAAGGTGATTAAAAAAGAAAGTTTACTGATGGCACTTACTTCTGAGAATAGTGCCACATTGTGGGGAGGGTAGCATTTTA